GTTACAAACGTGCAGTATTATAAAAAGCTTTATAATACTGCACATTTGTAACACCGCTTTTCATTGGATAATCGTGACGTTTATATAGTTTTTTTTTATTTTAGCGGCTCGGGTTATATTTACCAACAACCGTTTATATAGGCCCATATTAACTGTCAAAAATCTTTATGACTAATAATATAACTATTATGATTATCCAATGAAAACTTCGTTACAAACATGCAGTATTATAAAGCTTGTTTCTTGATATTAGACTCGATTAACTACCGTTTACACCGATGGTAAAAAAGGCTGTCTAACACCCCCATGTACATTTAAGACAAGTCGTGCGCTTTAAATAACGCTTTAAATAACGTCATTGCCGCGCGCCATTTATGAATGAATTGCGTTCTCAGGAAGACGTCATTTTACCATTATGAATGAAGTGGTAATTTCATACGCTACAATAAGAAAAAAGTGCGTTATGAGAATATCAGTTTTCGTGATTTCTGTTCTGAAAATAATTGATATGTAATATGCAAGAAAAAGAATCAAACACCGGCTGTCGGTACAGCCGGGAATATCTTGCTCTCGGGTAACTGTTTAGCGGCAACTCGGCAGAGCCTCGTTACCGCAGTAAACAGTTAACCTCGAGCTAGACATTCCGGTCTGTACCGGCAGCCAGTGTAAGATTCTTATAATATATAATCATATTGTTTTAAACACTAAAAGAAAGCGTTTCTCTGATGTCAACGTAAGAAAAGGGTTGTTCTAAATTGAAAAATGCGTTATGTCAAGTTAAACCCTCACAATAGACATTAATGGTATCGGGACAACCGCACTGCGTTGCAATCGAATCCACTGCCGTCTGCGTTGTAATCAATTTTTGTCAATTCTTCTATAAAAAGGCAATAACAATTTTCAAAAATTCCAAATTATGGTTGTTTTGGTGCAAGTATTATACATATGATGTAATGCTGATGCATTAAGGGGCCGTTTTGCACACAATTGTACGTGTTTTAACCTAAAACTTAAAATAGGCAAACATGGCGTCCCACGTCAAACTGTACATAAGTGTTAGCAAAAACGGCAATGAATTGCACCGTGTGCGTGTAATAAGTTGGAAACGTACAAATGTGGGCTCATAATATAATAATGTAAACATAATGTAAAAAATCACTCATAAACTTACCGACAGCAGCAAACGGCCATATTTTATCCACCGCTTCTGCGACGAAATCTCCATCGCGACCGATTCTGAAAAAGCTATGGCCAGTGTGATAATAATTGCATTTATATGTATTATTTAAATTCCTTAGTAAGAGTTGATTACACAGTCCCGTTGCTACTGTCGAACATAGTTTATAATGTCCGCAGTCAATCGCCTGCCACTTTTCAACGTCTCTCTCGGCGATTGACGTCACCAACGTCCTTGAAAATTTCTTCTTTCTGCCTCTACCTTATTTTTCTTTTTTCCAATTTCTCAATAACCCTTTCTAATCATTTATTTCAATCAAAAACTGTTTACAATAGCTGTGTCATGTTATAAAAGTATTTATCAATTCCCCATTGTTTTATGCTACAATAGTCATAATTAAGCCGCAATGTTTGTGATAAATTAGACTATTTTGTTCAGTGAACTTAGGTACAGCTGTTCTTCAGAAATTGTGCCAGGCTAGGAGAAGCTTTTATTCTACATCATTGTGCAGACTTACATTTGAGCCGCGTCACGACAAAACCAACATAGTGGTTTTGCGACCAGCATGGATCCAGACCAGCCTGCGCCTCCGCGCAGTCTGATCAGGATCCATGCTGTTCGCTTACAAACCCTATTATAAGTAGAGAAACTGATAGCGAACAGCATGGATCCTAATCAGACTTCGCGGAGGCGCAGGCTGGTCTGGATCCATGCTGGTCGCAAACCCACTATGTTGGTTTTGTCGTGACGCGGCTCATTTCTCAATTTTTTATTAACTCGTGAACAGTCTCCATACATTTATAATAGAAAGTGCACACTTTGTGTCCTAGATGAGTTAGGTACCGAAAAACATTTATTTATTATGTTCCCATTCCTTTACGTTTCAACGGCCAATTCTTTTTTAAACACTGGGAGTTGTTTTAAAAGTTTGATGAATTTAAATCACCTGACAAATTAAAGCACTTGTCTATTTTTTGTAAAGCCCTAATGGCAAAATTTAAATAATTATATGTACATGTATATAAATGTCATTTAGTAAGGTAAATATACACATGTCTTACATCATGTAATTTTTTTACCTATATGGGTTATGTAATATTTTTAGTTTCAAACGCACATTATGATATTATTACGGTCTCTCCCGATGACTTACTTATATACCTTTGTCAAACTTTTAGCTGTTTTTATCTAATTTTTCTCATACTGTACTTATGTACCTGAGAGAATTAAGAGTATATTATGTTCTGTTCTCTTCCTGATTAGCAGTGGTTACTTAAGTTTTAAATGTCTATATGTATGTATAATAGTGTAATTATCTAATATTTCCCTATGTCATAGAACGATTTTATACTGTATAATGTTTATTGTAATTTTTTAATAGCATGGTTATATGCATGTGTTTCATACGGAAACGTATAGCGACCACCCTTAAATGATACATATCAAATGACCTTTTTTTATAGTTTTATAGTATGTTTGTTATATGTTAATATGCTTTGAGGAAAGAAATACATAATTATTTAAAAAGATGTAAGTGTTTTATTTTTTCATTTTGCCATACACCCGTCCCAAAAATCTTCAAGATTCCCTCACCCATTCAACTCTAAATAAACGGAATATGAACGGTAAAACTAATAAGTGTAATAGAAAAAGATGTACTCACTGTAAAAATATTGAAGAAAATAGTAAATTCACAAGTACAAATACTGGAGAAACATTCGAAATGCATTTTGATGGAAATTGTACTTCTAGTGACGTGATTTATTTAATTACTTGTAAAAAATGTAAAATACAGTATGTCGGCCAGACCCATCAACAGGTATCAAAAAGAATGAACAGCCATAAATTTGATATAAGAAGTAATTGTCATCCCAATTTTTCTTCTAATGTTGCAATTCATTTCAATTCCGTAGATCATTCACTTGATGACTTTTCCTTCATGCCGATTGATATATGGGGAGACTTTTGAAGGAAACGTATTGGATACATAAGTTAGAAACATTTTGCTGCAAAAGTGCTTTACAAATTATACAGTATATATACTTGCAACTTTTTACAAACTCATCAATATCTTTTTAGTACATATCGGCATAAAAAGACTGTTCTATTTTAGTAATCATTTACTGTATCTAGAAATGTTATTAATTTATTTTAATCTATACAAATACATTATTTATGTCAATGATATAAGTATTTAATTACCTCCCTTTATTCATGCATATTTTTGATTGTTATTTTTATATACTACATTATTCATAATGTATTCATATGGTTTTTGATTTTTTCATATATACATATATTATTTTTGAGCATAATAGCATAACTTGAATAGATAATAGATAGATTATTTTCATTTTATTTGATAAGCTTTATAAGATATACTGATTGATAACGATGTTTCTAAATTACTATCTCCCTTTTTACAATTTTAACATGTGATTATAGCACGTTTTTTTTTTTGTTTTGTTTTTTTTTTTCGAAATTCTAAGCTTTCACATAAGTAACTGTTATTTTCATACTTGTTGTAATTATTTACTTGTATTTAATGAGAAATTCCGCCTAAATGGGGCTCTTAATGGGGAAAACAAATTTTAATAGTAACTTTAATATTATGGAAATTTCGTTTTTAACTTGTTATCAAGCATAAAATAAAAAGAAAATTTGTTTGTTTGTTGTGTAAGATGTAATTTTATTTCATCTCGTGAACTTTAAAAACAGTATTCTCACTCGTGGCTACGCCACTCGTGAGAATACTGTAATCTTAAAGCCCACTCGATGAAATAAAATTTCATCTTACACACAAACAAACAAATATCAACTATACATTGTTGTTTCTAATCCCGTCAGTGCTTACTGGAATCTCAGTGAGAAAACATAATAAAATCATAATTATATTACGTTTTCGAATAAAAGCTGCTCTAGTTTATTGACATTCATTGACGTGCTCATTTTGTTCAGTATTAATTTTGGTATGATATTTGTAACAAATACGATTTTAGCAGACACAGCATCAATGACAAACAGTCACAAAATGATTGTAAATTACCATCATCTGATCTCCAATAGAGGAAGATTAAAAGATTTGAGCCGCGTCACGACAAAACCAACATAACGCGTTTGCGACCAGCATGGATCCAGACCAGCCTGTGCACCCGCGCAGTCTGATCAAGATCCATGCTATTCGCTTACCAACTCTATTACAAGTAGAGAAACTGATAGCGAACAGCATAGATCCTGATCAGACTGCGCGGATGCGCAGGCTGATCTGGATCCATGCTGGTCGCAAACGCATTGTGTTGGTTTTGTCGTGACACGGCTCATTTGAAAACAGTCGACGAGATAAGCTGCAACGATAATTGTTTGTAACGGACCCTCTTTACTAAAATAAATTTGTGTTATAATATATACATGTATAATATGTAGAGTGTTTTCTTGTGTTTAATCTTTTTTGGTCTACAAAATAATTTCCTCTGAAAACGCTATGGAGCACAATCATAGTTTTGGCAAAATACATATCAATGTATTTATGATTAGCTTTTCAGATGAAGCTGAAATGCGCCACTAATTCCCCGCTTTGTTAACTTGAAATATCGAACATTATCTGGTAAAGAAGATATGTTATACATTGAACAGTTTCTGTTTAAATACCGTTAGCGTTCAAATTCAAAGTCCAATTACAATCAGAGTAGCTATTCTCCTCAATATTAATGGTTGTAACCATTTTCTCTTGAGGTCGTAATGTTATCATTTTACGATATGAGTCGTTGTGTTTGTGTGGTTAAAGCTGTGAGTTTCATTTGTTATAAAATCAAACAAAACACCATTAATTTTAATGCTCAATGTTTATTATAAATAAATTAACATGAATATCCATGAACTTTTTTTCAACCTTTTCCAGTGTCCGTGTCTGTCCGGCCGGTTTTAAAAGTTTCCTAAATTGACAATATAAAAACATATTACAAATGTGACCATGAAAGCTCTTATTTAGATGCAAAGTGTTGTAGAATATCTGTCTCACTTCAGTCACTGTGATGTAAAATACTGATTTTAACACAAACGAAGGCTTTTCATTGACAAGTATAAAATCTAGTATAATTTCCAAGTTAAAGACACATAGCTTAAACAATTAAATTAAACGTTTGTTTTTATCGCCGTTTAAATATACGAATCTCGTGCACTAATGCAGTTGTTGTACGTATTTTGATGCTTCTTTTTTATCGTGTTAAAAGTAGCTTGTTATTGTTAGCTCCATTATAACATTTGATATTTAACTTCTTATAAGCATCATCCAATTTATTCGTACTTACCTTTTTATCAATAATCGCTCTACTTCACTCTGCAATGAAATGAAAAATAAAGCATATAGCATATCATAGTTAATTTTCGTAAGAGTATAATACTCTTGACCATAAAAGCTTTAAAAAAAACTTGATATAAAAAGCCATTCATCTCATTCAATCGAACTTTTTAATGACGTAATCATGGTGAAAGTATTTAACAAAGTCTAAGAAGGATTCCATTCCCGCACTTTGTTAATATCTGCAAAAAACGTGATCCTTCGGGAGCATCTAAACAGCAAAATTACATGAAAATTTCAGACTCGGTTTGATTGAGTCTGTACATGAGGGATAATAAAAATATGCTACATCCCTCACGCCCCTAGCACTAAGCTTGAGCGGTACACAATTTCACCAGAAAAATAGTAATTTAAAGTAACTTTTGACTAATGAAAAGCAACCATAAAGATAAGAAATAAAATTGCCCACCATTCTGCTCAATGTTTTTGGTTTAAACCATTTTAAACTATATTCTAAAAGAAAGTGTAACTTACTTTTGTATCCCATGTTGTTATAGAAATTGTCATAGCCACCATTGTTGAAATCGTTGTTCATGTAATATCGGTTGTAGTAGAAGTTGTCATTTCCATAACCGTTGTTCATGTAGTTGTTCATGTAGTAACCTCTGTTATAGTAGTAGTCATTATTGTAGTCATTACCATTCCAGTAGTAACCTCTGTTGTAGTAATTACCATTACCGTACCAGTTGTTATAGTAAGGATAATTCATGTTGTAGAAATAGCCATTGCCATTATTGTTGTTGTAGTTATCCATGTAGTAACCTCTACTGTAGTAATTGTTTCCATTGTTTCCATTCTGGTAATATCCCCTGTTCCAGTAGTAGTCATTGTTGCCATAACCATTATTGAAGTTATTCATGTAATAATTGTCATTGTAGAAGTTATCACCATAACCATACCCATTATTGTAGTTCATATTATAGCCATTGTTGTTCATGTTATCGTTTCCATACCAACTATTGAAACCATTACCATTCCAATTTTTACCACCAAAGAACTCTTCATTATCATTTTCGTTGTACTCCCTTAAACAATTTTGACTTTTGTTATTGTCAATGGAAATGTATATGCCTTCTTTACCAAATTAGTAAAGTTAAAATAGTTTACAGGAGTTTAGTACTATAGAATGTCCTAAGTATATCATAAGTCCTAGGTCATTTAACTGATTAAGTAATATATTAGGACTGTTTCAGTAAACATTTTTATCTTGATTTCTTGATTAAATACATATTAGGCCTTAACGAAATTTGTTCTCTTAAGAAAAGGTAATAAATACAATAGCAAGCGCCTCAGGTCGAAATATTTTTGTTCTCAGACTAAGGACTTAAGATATAAAACGCACCACTTAATGAGTAATTTCACACTTAGCGGGGAAGTCACCGTATATGTTACATTTTGCCCATCAATGTGTAAATGGTGAGTGCACAGGTAAAAGTTAAAAAACTTTAAGTTAGTCATAATTGTTTTTATTTTGTAATCTACTTCGAAAAAAGTAATCAATAACTCACGTTTCAATAAATATTCTTCAGACTGTATCTGTAATCAATTAATTAAGTTTGACTTGACAAAGAAAGATTTAGTATAATGCTATTTTGAATAGGTAATACTTACATTTGATCGTAAAAGCATCCAAAGAACCACATGTTCTGGTAATTTTGACCATTGGCATAAAATGAAGGGCACCAGTTCATGGCACATCCAACTGAACGACTCCTGTACCAGTCCATCTAAATTATAAAAACACAGAAATTGACTATTCTGATTGACGACTACAATTTAAATTTTAAAAAATTGATAATTTCACGTATCACTTTATAGGTATTAAAAAATCAAATTAATAACAAAATGTTTAACTGATAAAACGTCCAAAATGAATATACTGCTAAACTTGTCAATGGACTGAAGTGAAATAATCCTCGCCACCCGGATCGGAGGTTCTGTATAGTTTGGAACACCAATCTCCTCTTTTTAGATAACAAATATTGATATAGTCGAAAATATATTTCTTGTGAATATATTCATGTGTTATACCTGATAGAAATCTCCCTCATTGTTTTTCCAGTCAAATTGTGACATTCCATTGTACCAATCGTTAAAGGTTCTACGTATATTGTAGTAATGATCGCCACCGCTATAGTAGGCATAGTGTTCACCACGGCTGTAATATCCGTTCCCCATGTTACATTGTGACATACGTCTGTCTGCCTCCTCTGCTAGAGAACTGTCCCATTCCTACAACATATCAAGCATGTTTCTGAGAAAACTATGTACTATTTGCGTTATTTTATAAACCAGTCTTTAATTTCATTTTCGCTTTATGTTGAAACTAGGAAAAACGACATAAAACAGATATAATTAAAGGTAAGAAACAAAACAACATACCATTCTGTCCCATTCTCTTCCGTTGAACCATCCTTGTCTGAAGTTGTTGTGTCTGCCGACAATATACTCCATATATCTTTCAGCACTCTCACATTGTGCCCCAACTACCAGCAATAATACGAGAGAAAACTGCGCCGCCAACATTATTACCCGTTGTGAAATCACCAACAACGTACAGAAGGAATGTCGAGGATGTCTATAGAAACATTCATCAGGACAGTCTTATATATACGTATGTTCATATTTCAAAGTGAATACAAAATGCTTTTTTAACATTTATAAGCTTGAACATTGTATAAAAATAACATTATTATGGAAATTTCTAAATGGTAATTAATTCTAATTGAAGCAATATAACATGTTACATTTTTTCTGTTTACTAGTTTTCAGCACTACCGAATATAGTATTGCTATAACATCATCTAAGGCTATATTTTGTGCATGAAGTCGAATGATTTAAAATTGTTTTTAATAAAATGCAGAAACTTCAAACCAAGTATAGTTGATTTAGATAGATACGTTCATTTTAGTATTGTTTAATAACATATCTTCATATGACTTAATTAATAGTATGTTCGAGGCATTAGACTCGAAATGGAACACTACTGTATATAATATTGCAAGAATTTCTTTTATAATTGAGCGTAAATGACCTAGTGTCACAATTCAAATGAAATTTATCACTTTAATTAAAATTCAACAATTCTTTAATAACAAAGATATATGATATATATGCAGCTATATGATGCAAACGTTCCAAGTTATGTTGAACTACTTACTACATGTATATCACGCATTCAAACATATCTTATATTGTTGACTTATGTCATTTGTTAAGAAGTAAGAACATATTCTGGTTTATTTCAACATACATAGAGGATATTTGTTTGTTTGTGTGTAAGATGAAATTTTATTTCATCGAGTGGGCTTTAAAAACAGTATTCTCACGAGTGGCTACGCCACTCGTGAGAATACTGTTTTTAAAGTGCACGAGATGAAATAAAATTACATCTTACACAACAAACAAACAAATTTTCTTTTTATTTTATGCTTAAAAACAGGTTAAAACGAAATTTCCTTAATATTTACGTTAATATTAAAATCTGTTTTCCCCATTGAGAGCCTCAAAAAAGTCGAATCTCTCATTAAATACAAGAAGTCATGGGCTGAAAAATAAGTTCCACAATCAATGTTAAAAGGTAGTGATAGTATTCCTTTTATTAAAAAAAATATGTCTGATCGCTTGTTTTAATAATAAAAACAAACAATTCTAGTAGGAGAAAAAGTCCAACCATCCATCCATATTTCTGTTACTGACTGCGAATTTATATTAGACCTGGCTTTGTTAAATGTAAGCGGCCGCCATTTTTAAAGTTGCGTATTTCACTGGAGGAAAATAATTGTGTTTGATTCAGAGGGAAATCATTTGGATTTGTTAGTCATACACCTTTTTAAAAGAAAGAAAACTTATTTGAGGATTGTTACAGACAATAAATAAGTGTTGACAGATGTGTAAACATTCAAAAAAGTGGATAGGAAATTGGAAAACTTGGAAGCCTTACGAACGCTGGGTTGTTTTACATATTCTTGGACTGAAAGCTGCCATTGCTTTTCAAGTTTTCATAAAGCATACGGCAGTTATTAGTCGTAGGATACTTAAATATTCCCTAATATCATCAACAGCAGTTTTGCATGTGTAAGGAATGTGTTTTTCAGACTGTAAAAATGAAACAAAAAATTAAAGAGACGATATTTGGTGATTGGTAATTTGAATGAATAGAAGTAACATACTGTAAGTTTTCTTCATTTTATTACTTTTGATATCAATTTCAACTTTGCTTTTCTTTAAACAGCCTGACATTGTCGGAATAGTCAGCAAAAATAAAATTGAGGTACCACATGGGGAAAATCTTAAAAAAGTAGTTTCGTCATTGAAAAGTGTGAAATTATATTTTGATAATTTTCACTGTGAAATTATCAAATATAATTTTCACGGATAAATCAGTAATCCACTGAAAAGCATAAAATAAATTGATATCTTTTAATTATGTATGATATCGGTATCAGATCTCAAAAGTATTATTTAACCAAACATTTTGAAATCATTTGTCAGATATTTATTTAGATGGATATTATAATAATAATAACAACAACAACAACAACAAAAACATAATGATATGAAACCATTTATTTAAAGACCCTTATATGATTACTAGTAGTATTCATAAGACAACAAGTTGGTTGATCAATATGTTTGTACTCTTCAAATTTGGAGGAGTAAAAGAATCTATCTATCCATCCACTGGGGTATTTTTACATGACTGGACTGGGAATGATTTTTTGAGATTAGTGTTCCATTTGTTGTAGGTCTTGTGTACCATTTCCGATCATTCGCTCACTCCGTTTTTCCAGAATGATTAATCTAATCCAAAATTGAAAAGCGTTGCAACGCTCTTCACTCAACTCGGGCTAAAAAAGCACAATAATACGATTTTCGATTTATTCGTATGAGTATGTTTCTTAAATATTTTTTGCATATCTTTTCTGTATTAATTAAGTGCCCAAGTTGTTCTATGTAAGGAATTCATTTTTTTAGTTTTATGTTTTTGGACCTTAGTGGAATTCCTTTCATGTAACTCTATATTATAAAGAAATCACTATCATAATATAATGACTTAAACCATACATTTTCTCTTCTCAATATTTTTTGTAGACTTTAATACAATATCCTGATATTCGCTTGATTTTCGAGAAGGATTCTGTGGTTTAAATTTTCAACTTTCATTTCATATCAAACTCATCAAAATTAGTATTATGATGTAGACTAAACAATATAATTCAAATTGCATATTCGAAATCATGGCAAGTATATATTTATCAAAACAGTATATTCTGCATTTTTGTATGATAGCTACTTTTGCGTGATGTGTTTTGAATTGCAGGCCCTACATATATGTTATTTGTTGCTGTAAGGTACATGAGAAGAGCATATTCACATAATAGTAATTAAATATGGCGGACAGTGTATGCGATTTTCTGACATGGGATACTAAAATACGAATTTGTGATTGTTTCTAAGCTAAAAGTGAAATATTTTATTTGGATATATGTGATAAATAACAGATTAAACTATCAGTGTTAAAATTATTTCAGATAAATGTATAAAAGTAGTGGATATTAGAATTTTCTTTGCAATATCTTAGCGCGCGAAAACATCTCTCAATAATAACAATGGCGCAGTTTAAAGATATTTGCAGACAGGATTTTGTAACTAGTACTACAGATGATAAACTTGTTTATATGTTTGACGAACTTCGCAATATAAGGAATGAACAAATTGGATGTAGTCGAGGTATTTTCTCTCTTCAACAAACACTGATAGGACTGGACATGAAAGTCGGTCAGGTAATTGATGTTACCAACTCTCAAACAGAATTGTTAAAAACACTAGCGTTCAGGTCCATAGATATTGAAGCCAGATCACGCCGTAATAATTTAATATTTCGTGGGCTCCCCGAGAAAATTGGTGAAAATTGTTTTTGACTTGATATTTGAATTGCTAGAAAGTAGCCTAGCCATGAATACAAACGACATCTACATATCAAGGGCACATAGACTAGGTGCTAAAACCCCAAATAGACAAATACAAAGCCGGCCAATTATTGTTTGTTTCCGAGACTTTTGTGACACTGAAAATATTATGGGCAGAGCAAGAATGTTTAAAGACACACCATACTCTGTAGATGTTGATCTACCACGAGAAATCCAACAAGCTCGCTCAAGACTCTGGCCAAGATTTAAAACATGTAAACAAGAAAATCCGAGGTCAAAGGTCACCATTGTTAACCCTGCAAAATTAATAATGGATCATCGCCTAATACATGACGAAAATGCCAGAATGGGGCCGATACATGCGAAATGACAGATTATTAGAAATTGAGGCATATCGACAGACAACAACAAAAAACACGGCCAGGATCGATCACCCATGAATCAAAAGTCTGGACAAGAAACCATGGATGGGATTGTTTTTCCGCCACCGCCAACATACAGTATGGTAACTAGTATTAGACAAAATGACTTACCCAATATAGGGTGGCCAGGCATGCCTTGTACCAGTCCAATATCCTCAACATCCATCACAATTGCCTCCCGTTAATCAATCACAGTTGCCCCCCTATAGTTCAACACAGTTACCTCTCGTTAACCAAGCGCAGTGCCCTCTCCAGCAAAGGAATTTATACCATGGGTCACAAGTGTTAAATCACCAAATAACTGATAAAATTCCACACGAACAAACAAATTCTGAGGAACATAACATCCATTTAGTCAAAACAGGATTGTCGAACGGCGTTATAATATCCGAGAACCATGGCACTAGTTATCCGGTTGACCATTGCGACATAGTGAATCCCTTTCTGTCACAACTAAATGACCGATCTCCAACTGTCAACTCATCACTCTTATGCGAACAAAATACATTACAAGAAAACGGTGTAATTCATAGTAACTTGGAGCTTGAAAAATCACATGTACATGTAAATCGCGAGTCAATCAACCCAGTGACAGTTACAGATTCAGTTACGTTGGTCAATGGCCCAATTAAAGTGAATCCTTCAAATACACAACACATTGATAATACGTCCGAAAATGGGTCAAACAGCTGTGCACAAAAACCGGTTTCCCCAGACAGAGGTAGATCACGAAATATGCGTGCGATGTCTAGATCGGAGAGACGCTTGCACTCTGCGAGTCCGTATAGGAAAAGAAGCGTCGAAAAAACTAGGAACAGTGACAGGTTTTCCCCCGTGGCTATAAATAGACTCTTATATGGGGAAGAAGATCAAACATCTATTAATAACACAGGTCAAACTATAAATAGTACAGATAAATAGGATGGACAGGAGAAGGTGTCGTTACGTTTTACATTATTAAATATACAGGGTATCTCAACAAAGAGAACAAATAAATTAGATTCTCCTGAAGCACAGAACATATTTAAAAAAAGTGATATAGTGTTATTGACTGAAAGCTGGACAAATGATTTCTCGCAGTTAAATGTGAATCATTTCGAATATTTCGTCTTAAACAGAACTGAAAATAAAATAAGTAGTAATTAAAAGAGCGTCCGGTGGTATTATTGTATATATAAGAAATGAGTATGTATCTAACGAAACACTTGTTTTCAAAAGTAATGATGATATTTT